TCAGGCGGCGTTCAGCAAGGATACTTCATGGATGGATCTCAGGGAAGTTGACTAAGTTGATAAATGGAGTCCAAAGTAGAATTCTGCAACCAGTCTAGAATCTAGATTTCAAAATAATATCCATGGAGTGAGAGCTTGAGGCAGGTTTCTCCAACCAGTGAAAACTCTGAAACCAGCAATTAAATCCAATAATGCTGTCTGCATTAATGTAGGTAGCCTGCCATATTGTGAGTGGATAATAATGTCTTTTCTACACCTGTATGGCTACCATTAAAACCTTTTAATAACTTTTAACACCTTGTATACATGAACAAAAATACCTTCAGTATGCATTTGTGCTTCTTGCATACAGGGTGTGAATGAAAAGTAAAAATAGGTTGAAAGGAAAAATAAAATTTTGATAGGGTAAAGCAATATTGAATGTTTACAAATGAGGGTACATACATGCATAAATGAAAAAAAAAACGAGAAAAATGGAACATTATAGGTATGGTTTTAATTTCCTTATATCCACTAAATCCTAAATCTACCTCAAATTCTATTTTAAAATGGTAGGACTGGATGATCAGACTATTGAACCTTGACCAAGTGACCAAAACAATTTTGTGTCCAGTATGAGTTTGACAGCATTGACACAGTATTAGACAAAAGCAACAACAAGATAGTTGAAAATAGTCAAATTGGTATTGTTTTAGAATATTACAAGTATGTTGAACACCCTAAGAAGTTTAAACTGGCCTCAGCCACCTCCAATTCCTTGTTACATGCATTCCTTCCACACTGAAGAAATACATCCATGTTGTAGCAGAAAAATCATGTGGAAACCATTTCAAGCAAGAGTTACCCAGTAAAACTTACTCCTCCCAACCTCTCCCCTAAGCGAGCTGTCTCCTAATGAACTATAGATGATCATGGGATCCATCTAAATGTGATTTTCAATTTGGATGTCAAAGACCTAGGGGCCTTTTGTTAACAGCTGACATGGCTGAAATGAATGGCTTCTTTGATTCCTTCTTTTAATAAAATCACCATTTATCAAAAAAAGAAAAAGAAAAAGAAGGGCTGGATAGCATGTTGAGTTGATTTCTATATCTTAAATGACTATTTATCCACTAAAACACAGAGCAATAATCATTCAATTCAGCAATTGTGGCTGTTATGAAACGACCCCCTGGCCTCTATGATGAGGTGATATAAGAGCCATGTGCCCACAGTTCCCTTTTTAATCCGATTAATAACCACATTGATTGAAAGATAAAAAAATCTAACCAATAACCACTTGCTGATCTTCCTTCACCTTAAATTGGTCAAATCCCGTAAGTGTATCAATTTGAGTGTCTGAAGTATTGACAGGATCTCTGTCATGGTTGAATCCTTAAATCCAATGGGTCCATAGAAGGTCTTACAATAAATGGAGTTGGCAAAGTAATAGCAAGTTCCTGTACTTGGAAGCAATCAATGAGGTGGGGTCCCCCTCCCCAAGATGCAATCAAGTTAAACTTAGATGGATGTTCTATTCAGATACCAGGTTTTCCAATTTCTAAGGTGGTGCTTCTAGAGCTGACTAATAAGTTTCCTGTATATTCAGGAACATAGGTTTTGAAGATTCTCTTGAATCATAGAAATTGGTAGCACTTCAGGGACATGGACTGGTGTTTCTCCTTTAACTTTAACCAGGTGGTTTTTCTTTGTCAGTAGTAACAAAAATTTTATTAGTAAAACGTGAAAACAGAGATAAATGGAATAAAACACACAAGCACGAAAGGAAATATAAAAAAAAACTAGCATATCTATACTGCATTCCATCTTCAATCAATTCCTTCTTGCAGTTGTGCAAATCATGGATATATATGAATTTGAGCCAGCTTTAGGGAAAATGGGAATGACAACAAGAACGTGTGACAATTGAGAATTTATTTTGACTGATTAGCCTGCAAATAAGTTCTATTTATTTCTTTGTTTATCACTACCAGCTTCATTTATTTTAGGACTACAATTTTTTTATTTAACTTTCTACTAACCTATATAACTCTAATTAATTTTTGCATTTGTGTAACCTAGAACTGTAGATCCTGTGTCTTTATCTTATGGGGAAATACATGGCCACAATAACCACCTTTGAAGGAAAAAACTTTGGCTGTTGGGTGCAAACAGCCTATGCTGTTGAGAACATTTTTGGGAATGTCATGTTACCATGGGAATGGAGTAAAATAGTAATTGCCCCTATTTCCTTTTGACCATAAACATAGACATGGGCGTGAATTGGTGAGCGTGTCCAGCCTAAAAACGCTCTCAACAGCATAGGCTGTTCACCCCCAACAGCCAAAGTTAACTCTTGAACATACAAGTATGGTAACATACTCAGCCTGTCAAATTTTCAAAACAAGAAAGAACCTGTGGCTTTGTTTTTCTGTGTCCATGCCATTTCGGCTTCAATTTATTTAATCTTTGTTATGATACCCATCTTCCCTGGATATACCTGCTAACAGAGAAGATAGATTAAATTTTTTCACTTTTATACAGAATAGGATCAAACTGCCAAATTAAGTGTCTGATTAGAAACCCAGACTACATCAGGTTTTTTGATAAAAATATATTATTTGTATGAAGGTGGCATTTGGTCCTTGGGATCTAGGTTTTCTGTTTTGTTTGGTGTATCAGTGTATGTATGTTGTATATTCTCAATAGCAGCCCCAGGGACCTATTCCATTCTTGTCCTCATCTTCCCCATAAGCTTTTTAATTTCCCTAATCATATTCCCGGTGGAGGTCACCAAACATCATGTAAAGGATTTTTTTTTTGAATAATGATCATGTAAAGGGCCTAAAGGCTTCTTTACAGTTGAAGAAATGGTCACTGATTGCTACTATATCAGAATTATATACCACCTCCAGATTTTTTTCCTGCTCAAAAATTGTAGGGGTTCTTTCTAGCCAGATGGCCCAAAGAAATGGCAAGGGAACAACTGCCCAGCAAGAGATACAAGAGTTTTAAGACCCTATCCTCACACCATAGGTCCTTCCAGAGAATATCATAAGGGCCATGGTTGCTACATCACACAAGGGATACAAGAGTTTTGACATATAAAGTGAACAACTCATTCAAGTGAAGGTCATAATATCTTCTTTTTTAACTTATTAAAATATAGAACATTGATTTTGATAGGTGAGCATTTTCTAATTAAATGATAAGAATGGGATTTGAAATCGTTAAATCTCCATTAAACAGCAAAAGAAGAACATGGGTATCATAGCAGTTACTGCCTTCAAGATCATCCCATGTTGCCATTCCCATTTGTTCCACTAACATGGATATGCTACCATCTCAGAACCCTCCAATCTTGAATAAGTAAATATGTCTTCTCTCATTGATCATCCCTGGCCTGGCTAACAGGGAAATATTGGAGAAGAAAATAGAAACTCTTTATTACTATTTGTAGATGACATGTTTGTCTCAAATGCTTTAGAGCAGCTGATGTATCTCAGATATGTATTTCAGTGGTTTGTATCTTTTTATGTTTAGTTGTTTTTGACTGTTCCGGTGATGTCTGATCACCATAGTTTCTATCTTCTATTTTCTTTTGAATAAATTTCCTTTTACTATCAAAGAATAGTTTTTAAATGGTTTGAACAGATTTTAATGGTTTTCTCAAAAAATCCTATTAGATACTATGAAGGATATGAAATCAGGACAGACATTTGTGGTCTTGAAGAGACCAATGAAAGGGCATGAAAGAGAAATTATTCAATTGAATATCCCCATGCTGGTGCACCTCCAGAAGATGAAAATACAACTGGGACCTCTGGAGGAATCTTATAGCTATTAGCTATTGCTGTAATTTATTTTAATACACAATTTGTTGATGAATGCAACATGACTCCTTTGAGGCTCATTTCTCTCTCTCTCTCTCTCTCTCCCTCTTTCTCTCTCTCTCTCTCTCTATATAGATAGAGGCGTGAGGTGTAGTTCAAGCGGAGGGGGGTTAGGAGGAGGTGTAGTTCAAAATGCAAGGAGGCGTAAGCCTCCTTAAGAGGAGGGGGGTTAGGAGGAGGATGAAGAGGAAGGGGGGATCTCATATTTTCTTTATTTTTAATAAAAATATTTTATATTAAGAAGAATAAAGATGCACAACATTAGTTGAAAGGAGTCGCCCCCCAGCCGAAGGGGCAGGTGGCAAACCACTTTCTTTCTCCTTATCTTTTATTCTCTTTCCTTTCCTTTTCTCCTTTTTTCTTCTCTTTCTTTTTCTTTCCCTTCCTTTTCTTTTCCTTCCCTTTTTTTTTCTTTTTTCTGTTTTTTATATAAGATGTGCATGAGGCGTACGCCTCTAGCACGCCTCATGAAAAAAGTGCATGAGGCGTACACCTCTTGCACCTGAGGCGTACGCCTCAGAGGTGTCAGCGCCTCAGGGTGTTTTGGGAGTGCCTCGCCTGGAGGCGTGTCTCCAGGCGTACGCTTCCCACGCCTTTTAAAACACTGCTCTCCCTCTCTTCGNCCCCCCCCTTCTCTCTCTTTATTTTTGTCAGTTTAAATCTGAGACAGGTAGTACACTAAATGAGGTCTATATAATAAATTTTGGGTTTAAACAAGGACCAAGAGCTCTAATTGTTCAATTGTTTTCACATAATTTGTGATAAATCTATTGTTTTAATCTCTAGATAAGTAATGAGCCTATGCGATAAATCTATTGGTTAAATTATGCATCTATATTTAGTAATGAAAGGGGCAGGTATATGAAATTGCAATTGACTTCTGTGTAATGAGAGTCAGATCTAGAATGAAAAATAACTCATTTCATGCTCTTCATGAACACACTTATAGTTCTACTTGAACATGTAAAAGAAAAGGTTCCAGTGAAGAATATAATCTTGCATATGAGATGATAGATATAGAAAGAATAATTATTTCTAGAATGCTAATTGCTTGCTCATTAATCTTTATTTCTTGTTTTAATGTGTATTTCCTTAATCTCATTTATGACCTTGTTTTTGTAATTGTAGTGATACAAGTGACATTGATGATGGGGGCTCAGATTCTTGCATCTATACCATAATGTAGATCACATCCAACAAATCAATTAATCAGGATTTATAAGATTGATAGACTGATACCAACCCACTTGAATTGGGTTTGATCTTGTCACTGGGTGTTCATCATTTCTGTGGCAAGTACATCAAGAGATCATAGGCCTCTCTTGTTGGGCAAAGCAATCTCTACTGTCATCATCGTTGTTTATTTCATCAGAAAGAGGTTGATACAATTCTCAGGTTGGTTCTCATCTGAGCATTTATATCAGCAGATTCCATATTTGAGTCTTGGAATGGAAGCAGCTGTAACATGACTTCTTCTCCATTACGTGTACAATAGTTTAGACATTTTAAATATATATATCTATATATAATATAGTCAAATAGTATTCTCATTATCTTCATGCTTCTCAGAGCTTCATTAGATATTTGACATGTTTTTCATCATACCATGCATAATCATGTTAAAAAAAGCAGCAACCAGTCAACAACTTTTTTTGTCACTCTTTTCTCGTTATCTGTATATTGAGGGAATGTCTGTATGAAATCCAGATCTCGCTCATGAGATGTTTTTTGGGCATTTCAATGGCTGTTCTGATATAAAGAGTCTGTTTCTCCTGTAATTGTTTGGGAGTCACTGTTCTGTAGTCACATACTAGTCATAATCTAACATGTTCATTACAAATTGAAGGTTGAGTTAAACATCATCTTTACTTTGCCACCTTTGCATATCTGAAACTGTTACAGAGTTGTCTAACTAATAAAATGATTACATATCCATTCTCGTTTTCTATCAATTTCCCATGAAAGAAGTGGCCCACCAATTGAACCATACGAGTGATGCACTTTTGGATCCACCTGAGCATGTGGTGAAGCACCGTGAAGTTTCACCACTTAATAGCAAATTGAGCTGTGTGACAATAGTCACTTGACCTTCTACCAAAAAACAAAGAAAGTAGTTACTTGACCCAACAGTGGGGACAAAAAACCAAAGATAGACTAAAGCAAACCATATAAAAGCTTCATATAATGTTCTTGTGTGTAGCTCCTGTTTTGGATCTCTGGTTTATATAAAAAAAAATGTATTTAATTATATTATTTATTTGCAGCTTAAACAACGATGGCCCACATGAAATCAAGTCCCAACCTTTGTGCTGCTGCAATTCAAATGAATACAGTTTTTTGTATTGCGGTGTTAATATGCTTGGTTGCCTTGAAACATTTATTTAAAAAAAAAAAAAGAAAACCAAGCAAGAGGGAGGATAATCATTCCACTTCGAATCCCATGAATAAGATGAACAATAAGCATAGCTAGAGTATGTGCTAACTAGCAAGTTGAAATCTTTTCTAATAAAAAAGAGATGAATTTGAAATTTTGAACAGGATCTTGCCAGATTACGTGCATCATGAATAATGTTTCCAGTTTTTATAGGATCATGCTGGAAAAGGTGTGCATGAGCTTGATGTTTGTAATAGAAGAATTTCAATTAGTTTTTTAACCACTTCTGTTATTCTTTTTCTTTACTCTTCCAGTTACTTGTCATTACTCGCCGGTTCTCAGCATGGGCGCCCCTCACCCTCACTAGTTTGTGTTTATACTCCTAAAGTGAGCGGTAACTGCAATAAAATAAGGGTAAAATATAAACCATAAAAATCTCTCTTGACGTTTCATTTTCATAAAAATATCTCCTATAGTTTAATTGCCTTGCTTTCATCTTTGTTCCAGTAATGAAGACTTCAAAGTTGCAAAAGTATCCTTACAACTTATTAGGGAATGTTTAAATATAGTTTAAAATTTCAGATTCGCTCTTCCAAACTTCACTATACCAAACTCTTTTAAAGAAAAAATTATTTTATTCTTTTCAATCTAACTTGGAGATCTTTTTTTAATTAAAAGTGAAAAGTTTTTTTGGGGGGTATTTTAGTTAATTTTATGTAAATTGATAGGTGTAAGAGTGACATGGGTAATTTTGAAAACTAATGCACTAGACAATATTTTCTGTTCAGGGAGGTAACTGCAGGTTTTTTCAATACTACAAGGGGAGCCAACTGGCGGTGGCTCAGGTGGTAGGTTCTCTGACTCATCGGAGTAGAGACCTGGGATCGAATCCTGCTGCCACCAGGGGTTGGGGGGATTAAGGGTAAGGAGATGGGCTACCCCCTGTTGTATAGCCCCATGAAGCGAAAAAAAAATACTACAAGAGAGGGAGATTTTTATATTTTACCCATAAAATAAAGATTATTGTTCCCTGTGCTGTCTTTTATCTATTGTGGGGGTAAAAATGTCAAATTAGGAAACCGATCCCCATCCTTACGAGATTTTTAGTTATCTTTTTCCAAATGCAAAGTGAATTACCAGAATGCCCTTCATCAGTCATCACCCAGACAGTCATCCACCACTCTGGGGCCGACCGGGATCTTGTGAACATCAACTCCATTTGCTAATCGAGGAATGTGATTGATTTATATTTGGGTGAAACTACTTAAAAATGTCCTACAGTCCGCCATATAGATACGCCAGGAGGCTCAAGAGAACCATCTAACAGGAGCTGAAAAATAGACAAGCATCATCACCCTTTAGGACAAAGGAAGACAACCCCAAATGAAAGACAAGAAGGATGCCTTCTTTAGAAGCAGAGGTGTCCACCTCTAAAGCTTGATTACAAGAAGACTAAAGAGCTTGTCCTATAATAAAGTTGCCAACCTCATTTGGAATTAAAACCCTAACTACCTTTGTCATGCACGAGCGGCCCCATCAACATTGATTTGCAGCATTCACGACGTGGCCTGCACCAAGTAATACTTCTGCCATTCTCAAAACCATTGCTGAGAGTTAATCATGTGAATGTCGATGTTGGTTACTTTGGATTAACTGAACACTTTGGCTGTGGAACCAATGATGAGGTTCTACACGCTTTGGCTGCCATTAATAAAGCCATGGACCCCACTGTAAAAGGTGTAGGCCCCTTTTATTTTAGGGAGAATGTCAGTTCAGCCTGGGGTAGGTGCTAGATCGGAATTGATGCCAATTTACAGGCAGGCATTGGTGCATAGAATGTGGGTATTTAGCATTTTGAATGTTTATAAATCTGCAGTGGAATTCAGAAATCTATACTTCTCCATTTATTTTATTTATGGTGATGGTTCCATAACCTTCTGAACAGCTAAAGCATTCAACTAAACCTTGTTCCACTTAGGTTGTGTTTAGTATAATTATTGTTTATACTATAAATGCTTTGAGTTTATTAATACAATTTTTTGAGAAATTGTCTTGTTACATTGCATTAAATAATCACTTCCGGACATTTATATTAGAAGCATCAACATAAAGAAGTGCACAGTACCAAGTGTTGTATTGATAACTCAAAGCATTTGTGGTAGAAAAAATATATTCTCATAAAATATATTTTGACCAACTTAACACAATGCAAGTAGAAGTGGCAATGGTACAAAGAAAACCTTAATGACTTGCACCATGTGTATAACTGACTTAGGTGAGAAAGCCTTCCCATTAAACACCTTGACTTATTCCAAATACGCTAAAGAAAAAAAAAAAAAAAGATGCCCTTCTTCAACAAAAGAGAAACATGACGGACACAAAGGGCTCACCTTATTTAAGTGGGATCCCAACTTTGTTATTCAAAGGTAGGATCACCCTGAAACACGCCAAACAAAATAAACAATTTTTGGATGAACTGAATTTTGTTTCCACGTAGACTTAAGCTGTAGATTTGTAACCTGAATTGACATTGTACCTAATTTCATGTACTTAAAATCATGATTTTTTAAGCATTGTTGACTTAGACATTTAGACCATTCGATCCGGAAATCGTTTAGACAATTATCGGTTTTACCCTTGATTTGTTTTTTTCTTTTTTATTTTTATAAAAAAGATTATTGATTTGGTCAATAAACTTAGATAGTTGAAGTGTTGAACTGTCGACCAAACAATGGTTTTTGGTCATTTTTATTTTAATTTTTTAAATTATAATGGGCCATCAGTTCAACTCGACGATCAAACTGTTGCCCAAGCGGTCAAACCACTAACACTCGAAAGCAATGTCGACATGAAATAATTGTCAGCCGCCACTATTCATGGGATTACCAACTTTTCCATTAGAGTTCTAAATCTAAACCACTGTATCCTTCAAATAAACTAGGGAGAAAGACGATTCAGTCCAGGGTCAGAATTCATAGGCACAAAGTATAGTTGGGGTAGGTGTTAGCTCGGAATTGATGCCAATTCACAGGCAGGTATGGATGCATAGACTGTGGTTTTTGGACCTTTTGAATGTTTGTAGATTTACAGTGTAAATCAGAAATTTACATTAGGCCTGTCCGTACTTTTCCGAATAAACTATGCACTATAAGTCATTACGTACGGAAAACCCATGGATCATATAATACATTTACATTCTAATCGTTACCAATTATCCAACAAGCTCCCCTGGTGAAAAAATGTTGCATATCCATTACACTTGGCCAAAGTCTGGAGCAATCATATAATGTATAAATTTGTATTTGTATTCCTTTCAAATTGAGCTTTAGGCTACGCTTTGGAAATTATGCAAATGGAGTGTAAATTCTGGTTCAGGGTAAATTTGCACTCTGGTTCACTTTTGCCTGTGTTTGACAACATTACATTTATGCATTGACAAATGACAAACCAATGCATATTTACATTGATAATAAGATGTAAAAGTACAATAAAAAAGAAGTAAATTTGCATTCAAGTGGGCTTCTGATAAAAAAAAAACATATGCTTTATTGGAATTCACATTTGCATCCATTACATCTAAAAGTCTGTTTGGTAAGAAAGTAAATTTGTTAATGCAAAACTAACCCAATTTTGCAATTTATATGAAGCATTTTACACTCTACATATTTGCATTCATACTTATTTGAATAATTTCCAAACGCAGCCTTAGTTCCAATATTTAGATAGGATGATTGCAAATGGATCGGATCGGATTTAGTAAGGGCATATTCGATTCGATCCTTTAAGAAAATCCAATTGATCCGAATCCAATAAGGATCCCTTGGATTTTCAAAAGCATGATTCGAATTTAAATTTGAATATATTATCGGATATCGGATTCGAATCTGATTAGACTAAAATTATATTTTTATTATGTAATATAAATAATATATTACAATATAAAATATACAATTACATAAATAATATATAGAATGTGCATATATAATATATAATATATAATATTTTATAATTAATAGATCGGATCGGATCAGCCAATATTCGAATTCGATTCATTAAATTAACGAATGATTTTTCCTATCCGATCCGATTTGTTAGGATCAAGAGGGATATCTGAATCGACTTTTTAATGGATCGGTATCGGATTTGCAGCACTATATTTAGGCTTGAGAATTTCTCTCAAAATGTCGAGATGCCAAAGCAATTTCATGACCAAATTGACTAGGTTCATGTCTATTAATTGAGACCACCCTCTTCCATTGGCATCAAGAAATTCTCTGATGCCTTGAGGTAGATATGGGCTCCATTAGAATTGTAACCATGCCAAAAATCTCTCATAATTCCATTGAGACGATGATCATTATAAACCATTTTTGATACAAGGGAAGTAGAGACTTGATAAGGAAGAATGGAGCTAAGGTAGACTTGTTATGTGGAGAGATAATTGGG